TTTATTTTTTCTTTTTTAAGAAATTAAAAAAATCGGAATCAGAAGATTGTCTATTACCTTCTTTTTTCGTTCGAAAGAAGGGTGTTGATAAAGTTTCATAGATTTATTTTTTTAGCCGCAATTTCATACGATTCGCGAATCTCACTTAGTGTTTCGAAATTTTTTCAGTTTTTTTTTTTTAAGAAATTAAAAAAATCGGAATCAGGAGGATCGTTGTCTACTTTCTTCTTTCGTTTGAAAGAAGGGTGTTGATAAAGTTTCATAGATTTATTTTTTTTAGCTGCAATTTCATACGATTCGCGAATCTCACTTAGTGTTTCGAAATTTTTCCAGATTTTTATTTTTTCTTTTTTAAGAAATTAAAAAAATCGGAATCAGAAGATTGTCTATTACCTTCTTCTTTCGTTCGAAAGAAGGGTGTTGATAAAGTTTCATAGATTTATTTTTTTTAGTCGCAATTTCATACGATTCGCGAATCTCACTTAGTGTTTCGAGATTTTTTCAGTTTTTTCTTTTTTAAGAAATTAAAAAAATCGGAATCAGAAGGTTGTCTACTTTCTTCTTTCGTTCGAAAGAAGGGTTTGGAGGAAGGTTGATAAAGTTTCATAGATTTATTTTTTTAGCTGCAATTTCGTACGATTCGCGAATCTCACTTTGATATCGCCCAACGGTTTGCCTTACGACAATGATTACAACAATTTGAGCGATCGCATGATACCGTTCACCGGCCGATACTGCCGGAAATATCGTCGAGAGATTCCCACGCGTGTCTGGATCAACATCGTGTACGGGACGGTCATAACGATTAACAGGTAGAAAGAGAATCGATGATCGAGAATCGAGATACGGATTGCATTCTGTTATGATCAACAGGAAGGAGAAATACGTGACCGTGTTGCATCAAGGGAACATCACGTACGATTATTTGATCTTGACCTGCGGGATGCAGTATCAAAAGCCCAAGTTTTACGACGAGTTGGAACTCGAGAAGAAAGGGTAATAAACGAAGAACAAAAAAAAAAAGAAAGTAAAGAAAAATGTGGTAAAATATTGGTGATTTCGCGCAGAGAATTTTTGGAAAACGAAGTGCCTTGGAACATGTTGACGATCAACGACGATACGGAAGCGGCCGTATGCCTGGAGAAGATAAAAAGGCAGACGGAAAATTTGAAAAAGAAAAGTTAATCGATCGGGCACATGAATGGTCGGAATGCAGCTGTACGATTAATCAATTTTCCGATTTATTTTTAGAGATTATCATCTTTTACGGGCACAACATAGATTGCTACTGCGCTCTCCAAGGGTTGCTAGAATTCGGAGTGGATGGCTCTTGGATCACGTTGATCCATCCTCCGTTGGCCCAGTGCAAGGCCAAGGACGAGGCGTTCTTCGACGATTGCGAAGTACGAGAAAATAAGCCCTCCTCCGTTCGATAAACTTTCTTGATTTCGAAATCAAATGTTCAAGGTGTACACGGAAGTGATGGAGTCGATCACGAGGAACAACATCAAAATAATCATGGGATGGGAATTGATTAATTGGAACTTGGAGAACACGTCAAATGGTAAAATGATCGAATCGATCATTATAAAGTCGAAGGGCAAGAGCAAAGTGATATATTGCGACTTTTTAATAAACTTTTACGAAAAGACTATCGGCATGAAGATATTCTTGGGTGATTGCCAATATTTCAATCGTTAATGTATAATTTACGAGGGTTGGAGGGTTGCGTTTCACCACGATCGATCCGTTTCAGCGATCTGTAGATCCGGATTGATGTTCGACGGCCAATTGGTCATAGATTCAGACTTGAGAACGAACGATCCGTCGATCTTCGCTGCTGGCACCATAACCAAGTATTGCAGAAGGTATTACAGCGAGTCTTGGCAGCACAAAAACTTCAACAGAATCGAGATCGGCGAAAAAGTTAGTAGATCAACGTTCTACATTTCCAGATCGTTCAGAGCAACGGTTCTCGAAATACGAGAATTCGCGAATTTTTTCATTCTCGAAGCTTTAACTCGAGCTTAACAATAATTCCTGATAAAATGCAAATGAAACATGATAATAAGTGATTTTTAAGATATCGAACGATTAGAGAACCGCCTCGAATTTTAACTTGTTTATAATATAGTTGGCGAAAATCATTCGATCGTTCATCGAAAACGAGCATCAAGGCAAGGATCCAGCGTCCATACCATCGAAACGTAAAGCCTTCGAGTCGGTATACGTGTTCCGATTACCATTGATAGTGGCCTGCATCGTACCTGGTGGTTATCGATTTCTTTACGTACGAAAATGCGGGAAAAGCACGCCGCGCAAGATCGCGATTCGTTTCGATATTTACGTGAGTGTTGTTGATACTTTCTTCTTTTTCAAGGAAAAATCTTTCTTTGAATTGTTGCGAGTGTTTTAGGGTCAAGTGCTGATCACGGGATCGTGCAAAACCGATATGGGTTACTTTCGGATAAGATTAAATCGGTTCAACGTGGTCGAGACGATAACCTGTTTTAACAAAAAGGTAAAAAAGAGGGAATTCTCGTTCTTTTCTTTTTTTTCAAAATTAGGATTAAGTTAATTTTTAGAATTTCGAAGTGGATCATATATGCTCGTTGTGGGGAAAACACGAGAGCCTGTTGAACAATTTAAAGGCGCGATTCAAAGTAAGCGTTTTCTCATTTTCATTCTTCGAGCATATATTCGAACAATGCAATTTTCTCGTGATTCAGGAATCGCTGATCGTGGACTTTTTCGAATACTTTCGGGAACCGTGGGCCCTGGCCATATTTTACGATAAATTCAACTGTCTTCGGGTGGAGAATCGTGCAACGCTCTTGTCGAAAACGGTAAGAAAGAGAGAGAAAAAGAAAGAAAGTGAAAGTAAGAAAAGAGAGAAAAGAAAAAAACAAATATTATTTGTTTAGGCGATATCCGGCCAATCTTTGATTAACGATTGCATACATGCTCTAATACGGTCGAAATGGGAGGAGGTGAGTTCGAATCTAGCTTTCGAAAGCGAAACCTCTGTTAATACGTTGTGCCAACCAACATCTAGATACAAAAGAACGATCTTCAAACCATCCAATCGAGATTCGCTGGTTCCGTTTACCAGCAAGAGATCGAGGAGAATCTGCTCGACTTTCTACAATTCTGCCAAGAGGATCTACCTATGTATTGCACGCCCGATAAATTGATCGAATTATACGAAGAAATCAAGGATAGCCCACTGTACAACTTCTAAACTTTTGAGCAACCTAATTTCTATATATATATATATATTTTTCTTCTTCTTCTTCTTCTTCTTCTCGAACGAGATCAAAATAAAGAGATCGCGAAACGAGCTTCCAAGTATTATTTTATACATGATTTTACTCGAATTCGCGCCATGCATTTTCGCCCGACGGTTTCAAAAAACGAGCGCATTGGCAACGTTACCGACTTTTAATAAACGAGTTCCCGATCCGAGCCCTCGATCGTTCCATCCGCGCCTATTTACTCGGCATGCGATCCGATCTGTGGGTCAAGTTTAACATTCCGCCGTGCTGCTCCATAAACATACGGCTCAAGGCAGCGTCTACTTGCCGCCTACGCATCGTGAAACAACAAACACGTCGTCACTGAAATGTCGTGGCGTGCCTGTTTAAAGAGGCAGAATTCTCTCTCTCTCTCTCTCTCTCTCGTTTGTATTAGAGTGAGATCGTTGATGGGTTCGATTTGATGCTCTCTTTGGAGAATCGCTTAATCTCGAAGAGAAAGCGTCGCTTACAGAAGGATTAGAGTTTGAAATCGATCGAACCGTGAAAATAATTCCACAGTGAGAAAATACGGCAGAGAAAATATACCCCGTGCCGTGTTCAAGTGCTCGTTGTTTATTATTAAACGTAATAAAAAAATAGCGAGATAATTTATCGATGATCGTAAGAAAGGGAGCCAAATACTTGGCTTAACGGACCGGTGATTCAGAACCGGAAACAGAACTGTATAATTAACCTTTTTGGCAAGTGGACTCGGTTGAGTCTTTCGTTAGATCGGTGCATATCTATTATCAAGGCTGAACATCTCCTACGTGTACGCATCGATTTACATTTTTAAATTGCTTAACGCGCGCAAAATCAATTGCGGAGAAACCAGGTAGGAATCAGTCGCGCGTGAACCGCGCACACGAACGTTCATCATCTTCTCGACCGAGCCGAACGCAACGCGAAAAATGAGCGAGTATTCCTCGTATTTTTACGAAAGGAGGTGTTACATTTGCGAACGAAGCGCTTCTTATCCGAAGAATCGCTATGTCCCCAAAAAATCGACGCACAGAGTGAGATTCACCGAGCCGAGTAAGTGGAAAAATTTTTAAAAGTCGAGCGGGAAATTGGCCACGTCGCGTCGCGTCAATTTTTTCCCCTTTTTATTGTCGTCTCGTATTTCATTTCTTCACTCGTTAATATTATCATGTTATATTTTTAACGAACGGAATCGTTACCACTTAAAAAAGTGGTAATGTGATTCCACATTACGTTTCATAGAAAAACTTCCTTTCGATTTGCTTTCATCCGGAATGAAAAATATTACGTGCGCCTATTTTCCATTTCGATCCTGAATTTGCCACGTTTCCGAGAAGAATAGCATAAAATCGATGCGAGACGCACGATGAGACACGCGATTCAGACGTAGCAAGCCAGGCACGACTTTTGTTATTCCCGTGTAATCGACTCTTGAAATGTATCCAAAAGCGTGTAGAGTCCCTGACGTTGGGTCAATGTCGCGCTATTCTCGTTCCTCCGTTTCGTTCTCCGCGCCCGTGGATTTTTACAGCTGTTGTTCGCTCCAAGAATCGTAAAAAAGAAAAAAAAAAAAAAAATCATTTGGACGTTTAAATTCGACCGAATTTAACCGGGGAAATACAATCGTTTCGTTCCAAAATAAATTTCTTCCCATTGTTAAATTGTTCGTCGAATGAAGACTTTCCAATTAAGGACTTGGCGTGTTAATCGCGCCTAATCTTGCACAATAATAAATAACATGAGATAAATACAAAACAACATTGCAAGCGTTTACGTAATAACCGGCGTTATTATACAACTATTACGATTACCACGCCTTAGTCGTATAACTTGCAAGCTAATGATAATGCGAGACGCATATTATATAACGAAAGTCAATTTATCGAGAGGTCGATCCTCGTGCTTTTACGGTGTATCATACGTGTTTGTTATCCGTAAAAGGAAATATTCAAGACCTATATTGACGATGCGTCGCGTTGATTCACACACTGTCTTTTGTCGCGATAATTGTCGCGATTTTCCCTCCTCTTATCATCGTTGTCGCCTTGAGTGCAACCACTGATGATGGTTCTGTTCGTAGGCAAAATGTTGAAATCAGCCTCGCCGCAATATCCCAGCAGAGGATCCGATGCCCGAGTCATTCGTTTGACCACGGATCAAGAAGCTGTTCTCCAGGAACAGTTCAATAGATGGCCGAGGGCAC